TAATAAGTTTTAAAATGTTTTGATTTTCTGATGTATTTTCTTTACACCAACAAATCTCAAAGATGAATTAAAAATAAATAATTAATGATTTAAAGGTTGATGAGCATAGTCTGATATAAAACAAAGAATAGGTCGGTACACGGACGGTAAAAAAATGAATATATATTATAATGAATAATATATTATTTTTAAAAACTTATCTACTGAATATATGAAAAATACTTAAATTATAATCCAAAAGTAAATAAATTATTTTATTTAATTCCAAATTTTTCTTAAATAGTCAAACGAACACACTCAACATAGACTATAACTGTAAAACAAATATTTTAGAGAGGACATTTTATGACAGGATTACTGAGTAATGAATTGTACACTATAAATTTCTTTACACAAATTTGAGTTATACTATAAAATATTTAGTGCAGCTTCATTTATTTGCAAATATAAAACATTTTTAAACATTTACAAAAATAACAATTAAGTGAGCAAAATAGATAAAAATTCAGTATTTATTTCTATATAATTATATAAACAAAACAAATTTTTGGTTAGTTTCATATTTAGTAAATGACTTATAAATTATAATTATTGCACTTGACGGAAAATTAAATGTTACAAATTAAATAATACAAAATGCAAAACATACTTTATAAAAGCAGTATTAAAAATAAATATTTTTTAAACCTTAAGTGTTAACTAAATATATGATTTTAGTAGGATTTTAGTATTGATTACTTTTCCTCAGATCATTTAAATAATACAATTGGATATAAAATGAATTGTAACAGTCTTTTAGCGCATTTGACAAATTTATCATCAAATGATTTTTGTCTTATATTATTGAGGTTTTTCACATTGGAACACGACAGACAGCCAACAGCAGATGCTTTAACAAATGGATTTTTAGCTGTTAATACACCAAATTTATTACCAGTAAGCTGACCGGAAAACCATATGTGATCATTTTCTCTTAAGCTTTTTGTTGCATTATCCATTATAATGTCTTGACTGTTGGTCAACAGTGTTGTTATATCTTCACTGCTACCCCAAACACTGTCATTGTTCATTTTTATTTCTATTTCATAGGTAAAACGATTCCATTCAGATACATGGCACAAATCTAATAGTTTTGAGCTCACATTGCAACCATAACTTTCAGAACATGTAGAAAAGCGTTTACCCAATAAACATGTCAATGGACTAGCTATAATCTAAAGTTAAATACCTCATGTTAAACAATGTTTTCATACAAAACTAATTGGTGATTAAAACTTACTTTTGGAAAGAAACTCAGTATAGCTAAGACTGGATTATATACTGACACAACCTTACTAGCTTTTATACGACCATTCCATTGCACATTTTGTCCAATTAATTGTGAACAATCAATATCAGTTAATACAGTAGTTACTTGAGTATTTTTATCAATATCTTTATTACAAAAATCAGAAAACTCATTGTACGTTAAGTGATGATCAGCAGGCGGCTCAATCCACTGTTGAATACGTTCATAATTGTTGAAAACACAAATTGTTATACCAATTAAGACTACAACAACCTATAAAAATTAAAGATAATACAACATTTTTGAATAATAGTTCAAACATTATATTATGTACCTGTAAATACGTATAAAAAGTATCTGTTCTAAAACCTCTACGCTTGAAGTATTGCAAAATTATATGTAAAAGCCACATAAATATTAAAACAACAAGTGGTTGTATAATCTGATAAACAGTTTCAAAATCATTGCCAATAGTGACAAATGGTAAGAAAATGCCAGTGATTGGAAATAGTATAAACACACAGACCAAGGCTAATATACTACGAACCAGTCCATACCAAGTAGATTCTATGGAAAGAAAATTACATTTTTAAAATTTTTCTTACAAAATATTAATTAAATCTTAATACCTTGTGATGCGACTAGGGCCATTTGCCACCATGAAAGTGTCATGCAATGTGGTATCAAATCTGTATAAATTCCTCTCCAATTATTACGGGCAGCCATTTTAACCATTATTGTAGGCAATATTAAATAGAATAAGGCTCTAAAGTTGAGACAAAATTCAACCCCATTACCTGGCAAAAAATTAAAATAGTCATAAAATAATATTTTAAAAAATATTTTACAAACATACTTACCGATAACATAAGATGCAAAAGTTGGTACATGTAAATCAAGAAATCTCCAGCCTTTACTAACTACCATATCAGTTTCATATGGATATTTTGCTAAGACATTGACGCAAAAAGACAATAATGCAATCAAATCAATAGTTTTGGTTTTACCTAATTTCGGACCACATAGCTAAGACAAAACACAAATAATGTTTGTTAGATTACAATGTTCAATCTAAAAATAATGTTTAACAATAAACTAAATAAATTATAAGAGGAAATAGTTACCGAAAAAGAATAAAGTGTATAAAATGTTAAACAAATTGATACAATGGTTAACTCCGATTGAAACATTGTGTCCGAATCAATTATAGTTTTCATAAATAAGTGCACTCCTAATGATGCGAAAAAAAAAACATATGGCTTCAAAGTGTTCATCAAGTATTGATATTCTGCTTCTTGAGCACTGAGACAACCCCCACTGTACGTGATGAATAAATTGGACCATCGACGGAACCGTCCATAATCTCTTTTTGCACATAATGCACACACAGTGGCAACTACCATTGAAAATAACGATCCATAAAATAGAATATAAGGAATTAATAAACTAAATCCATCAACACCCAATATGAAACAGAGAACTGTTGTTAATAATGTAGGGGCGTGAAAATATGAGAATGGATTTAATGGCAACTTGGAAAATCGTTTTTTCAATATCTCTTGAAGACTAAGATTATAATTATGAATAATGTACACTGGTTGGAGAAATAAATCACAGGTAGTTGATATGGCATTTTTGTTTCCTTCTATAGTAAGTAATTTTTGCACCAAAGGCATTTGCCCACGTGAAAAATCTTTAGCCGCATTCACTAAAACGTCTTCAGTTAGTTTTTCACCAGATTCATTTATTCTGGATTTCCAATCTAAAAAATAATATAAAGTATATGAAAGAAATATGAAACATTATACATTTTATCAAACAGTTATAATTATATAACAATAATAAATTTTGAAAGAAAAAAAATGTGTATAAGTATTGTGATATATATAGATGCAAATAAAATAAAAACAACTCATGAAATTATACACTTTTATCAGATAATGAATTATACTAATTCACTTGATAATAATTGTAAATTATTTGTTTTGTATTTTTATTTCTTTAAACAATTTGTATAAAATGTAAAATTAAATTGTTTGGCATACAACATAGAATCTAATTTTTCCAATGAATAATTCACTTTTTAAAACAAGACTTAAGATAGTGCACCAATAAAAAATTATACCAACATAGCTCTACAAAAATTGCAATAATAAAATGTAAAAAATTACGAATAATTTTTAAATTTAGTTTTTATTTGATTTAGTTATTATTTAATTTAGTTATCTATCTATATTTATCTAACACTTCTAGTCAACTAATAATTATTGATTGTTCTTATAACATTTTTTTAAGCAAACTTTTAATATTAAATATTAATAAAACTGTTATTAATACCTTGATGTGATAGTTTTAAACGTTTATATTCTTTGGAGTTTTCATCTACTTTTATTATGTCTGAACTAATAGATGTACTACTACAGGCTTCATTTAATTCATCTTTTAATTGGTCACTAGTTATAAAATCTTCTCCAGCTGACATTCTGTAATAATATAATTTGATTTAGTATGTTACAGATATATATTGTAATAAAATAAAATATAACATGCAAATTTTTTAAAAATAAAACAATACCTATCAAATATTTCATGTGCAGTTTTTTGAATGATTTTATCTTCTTGAGAAGTTTCTAGACAAACTTTGACATCCAACCAATTATGTTCCGTTATACCTAAAAATATTTAAAATTATAATATTAAATATAAAGTTCAAAATTCATAATATTTACTTAGATTGTTAACTTATCAAATAATGGATGTTTAATTTATTTTAATTATATAAGTACTTTTATTTCTTTAAAACTCATAAACTATATATATATAGTTAATCTAGAGTAGTTTTGTAAAATGTGTAGAAGATTTTACTCAGTTAAATGTATTAAGGTTTTAAAGTTTATGAAATGCTATAATGAATACTAAAAAGATAAACTTTAATTGAAATTAAATATACCTCTTCCAGTGTCTAAGCATTGTCTTAAAAGTTCAGTTGCTTCTTTATGCCCCTGTGATGAAGCCTTTATCAGCCAATAAACCCCTAAACTAGCATTTTCTTCTTGATCTTTTTCATCTTCTGTAAATTAAAAGACAACTTATACATAATATATACATATTAAAAACATTTTCAATGAGTAATTAAATAGAACCTAATATAAAAATGTTGAGTTTAAAACTTTTTTTTTTTTATCTATTTAAAATCCATAATATTTTATAAACATTTATAAAAGTTTAGAAGGCGACATTTAAGAGGTTTGATACAAATATTTATTTAAACACATCTAATATTGTTAAAAATATATAAATGCAAATAACTTTATACATATAAATACATAAAACAACTGTTTTGTCAGTAAGTTATCATTTTAATTTACGAAACAGAATACCAGTGATTATAATTTATCACTTTCAAAACACTTTCATGTATCATTTATAGTAATTACCTTATTATTTTTGAGTTGCCTCAAGATTAAATAAATTCTTTAATAATTTTATTTTTAATATTAACTAAAAATTTAAATTCAAATTTTTGGACAGAACTGTTGACTATTGCCTAATCGATTATTAACTAAACATTTTCGAATGACCAACAAAATATGATGTTTTGTTTAAGTATAAAATAAATTACTAGAAAATATACTGAAAGTGGTATGAATCTATATAATACTTGAGATTAAATCATAACTATGTAGGAAGGTAAAAATATGGTTATTGTTATAGCATTTTTACATACCACAGTTCTCGTTCAATAACTGCTTAGCCAGATCGACCTGGGAATCTGGCCATCCGTCTTCTGCTAGGAAACTTCCAAATCGATTGTAGCGATTTTGCGTTCGGTCTACAAGAAATAAACACACATTAGCATAGAGAATCCAACGTCCACTGAACGCTTGGATTTATTACTCAGCAAGGTCCATTGTTTTCTTCGCGTCGACTTCTGCCCGATTATAGGATGGGCCATGTTCTCCTCCAGTTTGACGGAAAAGCACTAAAGAACGATTGCGAAATGAAAACCACGGTTAGGTATTTAGGCGGACGACAACGAGGAAACGGCAGTAAACGTTGTGGGGGGCACAGGAAGCATAACGTTTTACGCGTTCGGTCTCGCTTCCGCAGCCATGTCATCCATAAAAGTACAAAGGCGGGTGCGGATAAAGAACACGGTATCGGGCGTGTGGAGTACAGAGTACAGAGTAAAAATAGAGAGAAATTTACCCCGCCGAGTGGAACTGCGTGAAGAATATTATGATTATTACGAAATCGAAATTCTTATCACGAGTCCGCCGAGCCGAACGCAGCAGCAGCAGCTGCTGAAATCGGTATATCGGTTATCCCCTCCCCCGCGCGCACGGACGATAACTCAAAGTGCCGGGGACAATAATTTCCGATCGCAGTGCAACGGCGCGAGATCGCGAGCGATTTAGTCCGTCACCGTTCGGTGTGCAACGGTCGGACAGATTGAATCTATTCGGTGGTCGGACGGCAAACGCAGGAATCGTATCGATAATGCGATGATCGTTGCGGCGATCGGACGGCCGACAAGACCATTTATGGGAACCGAATGTGTAATTTGAACGCAAACACTTTGAACGTTGATAGCGCGTCGCCGGTTGTTCGTGCCGTCATCCGGTCGAAAACGATAAGGTTCAAAAATCGACGGACGGTCATCGGTGCGGCGGGAGTTTTGTGCGGAGCTGTGGGAAAAAAAAATCAAATCAAACAGTGCGTTGTTCGTCCAATTACGCGGAATACGTTGAACTTCACGCCGGAGTGTTATCGAAATCGTTTCATCGGTCATCTTCAGCGATGTTCTCGTATGACTCTCAACGTTGTTTTCCAAATTCACTGGTACGCTTCGTACACTCTCGGGCACTTCGCGGAGAAGTATTAAATGTAATTAGTCTTACAGGTTTTGATTTTGGTATTATTCTGTAATAGACGTTCAATTTTCCCTCGGACGATTAGTGAAAGTAGTTATGAAGTAGGTAATTATTGATGGTATTCTTTGTATTTACGGTGGTTTCAATTAGTTCGAATAATTTTTATTTCTGTAAAAAATAAAATGTACCTATGACGCATTTCAATTACTTGTAAATATTTACAACCCTTTTTCACCGCCACCACTACCACCGTCTAAATAGTATACATGTCAAATATCAGATATTCGTTGGCGTAATATACTCTCAACAAGGTGCGTATCCAACATTTTATTTCGGAGGGACTGATCATAATGTATAAATATAGTAAAACAAAAAAATAAAATGCAATAATTTAAATGTATTACAATACATACAATGTATTAGCAATTAAGTACTAAATTATAAGTTTTACGAGTTTTGGCTTGTCCACTATTAGCAAACTTGTCTAAAATCATATCATTAGTTATAAAAATATTTCTATGAATACTTAATAATGCTAAACCAACGAGCCAATTCTCTGAAGTTGAGTTTCTCAAATATGTTTTTTCCTTCGCAGCGTTTAAACTGTATTCAACAAATGCAGTTGAGTTTTCAGCAGTTGGTAGAGATTAAGGTACAATGTTTTATCACAAGAAATGAAAGCGTCTATGGAGGTAGAAGTTCTTGATGAGTATTACTATTGAGGTCCATTTAGAAATCCATAAATCGTGCCATATTGTGCATTGAGCTGCAGCTCTATACTGCTGGCGATTATTATCGATAGGTTTATCAATAGTATCTATGATTCCCAGTATTACCTTCCGAGGTAAATTTTGTCCATGAGCGGTAAGTTAAGCTAACAAAATTAAAATACGAATTTAATTTAAGACTTATGCAGCGACTTAAATAGACCATGAAAATATTTTTTTGATTTTATTACAATTTCGGGAGGGGGGGACTGTAGCCCATTCAGCCCCCCCCCCACATAAATACACTCCAGCTCTCAACAGTATTGATAGGAACATCATTGGTTATCTTTACTTCTTAGTGGTTATCTTTACAACTATTCTCGAAATCAGTTTTTTCGTAATGTGGAATCGAAAATGTGACAGGTATATATGAAGTGAGCTGTACCAATAAAATTAAAAAAAAAAAAAATTAAAAAATTAATAAATAAATAATAACGCAATATTTTATACGGTAAACGTGGATTTGATTCCCGGGTCAATTATTTGTGTACGAATTGGTTCCCGAAAAAAAAACTTTCCAGTATACAATTGTTCGAATTTACGATGTCTGGGAAAGTTTATAAATATAATTTTATATTTAATAGATTGATTATATATATTCAGTCTTGTGACAACTAACCTAGCGCGTGCATTAATATGGAAGTGATGTTCAGTGAAAAAAATAAAAAACTCTTCGTTATTAACGGTTTCAATTACGGATTCCAAAAACAACTATCGGGAAATATGGAACGTTGGATTTGTACAAAAAGAAAATGCAAATCGTTTTTAAAAATAAATAGTTTAAATAATATTGAATATTTGACTTATTATTACATTATTATTACTTATTTATTACAACCACAATTATTATTATTGACAAATACGTTTATATATATATATGTATTAATATATTATACTGAGCAACATTTTTAACCATACCTAGTATTCTATATAGTGCTTGAACTATTCGATCTTATTTGAATTTTAGACAGTCCTAAGTCTGAATAAATGGGAAGGAAATTGTTGCGAATGTTTTCGGGAACCAATTCGACAATTGGGAACCAATTCGTAGTCGTCCTTTTATACTATAAGTTAAATTGTCGGTGGGTAGTTTCCTGCGGGAGCTACGTTTTTAAAAGGTCTAGTGCAGCACCTGTATGAAATCCGGCCCTGCACGTGTAAAAAACTAATCTGGACCGTTGCATTTTGTAATTGTAATAAAATATTTAATATTAAAAATTTAATTGGAAAATGTTGTATTTCGAATAATTAGTTGTCTAATGTGCAAAGTATGTAGTACTTTTCAATATACATACATTTTCGAGGAACAATAATTCGTATTTTAAGAAGGAATAAAATTATAACAATGTAATTTTATTTTTCGTATTGGTTATAAATTTTGTATAGTTCATAAAAATATAATTAAAACCTTAAAAGTTACCCGAGCTGTTGCGAATTGACTATATTTATAGGGAATTTAATAGCATTCTAATGTTTTAAAAATATTTTTTATATTTTGAGATTTCTAAAAATTCAAAATTCAAATAATTTACAATAATATACATCATTATAATATAATATTAAAATTATTTAATCTATATGGTTTAAACAATTATTTATTTATTTTTTATTTTAATATGGGCCGCAGCCCAAAGTACAAAAAAATAAAATTTACATATTATAAGTGAATAGTAGACAAAACAATTAAAATAGAAAAAGAAATGAGACAAAAGAAAAGAATTACAAAACTAAACTTAAAAACTAAAAGACGGATTCTCACTAGCAATACGTATCATTCTATTTAGTGGTTTGTTTCGTGAATAATTTGTCGTACACAGCGGAATACTGAACGGATAGGAAGAACGGACCTGGACACAGGGAATTTTTAAGTTTACTTTGGATAGAAGTTCAGGACAGTCGATCGATCCATTTATGAGTTTGACTAGGAAGACCTTGTTAATGGTGATACGTCTATCGGCCAAAGACTGTAAGCCTAGCCTATATATTACTGCATCATAATCATGAGGTCTATGTTCAATATTTAATAGATATGCTGCAAAACTCAAAAACTTCTGTTGGACTCTTTCAAGTTGATTCATATAGCTTATGTTGTGAGGGTTCCATATAATTACAGAAAATTCAAGAATAGATCTGATGAGCGCACAATATAAGGCTTTTAGTGGAGTTGTCAACTTAAATTCGTTACAAACCCGCTTAAGAAATCCAAGAGCTTTTAAAGCTTTACAGCATGTCGCATCTATATGGTTATGAAAATTTAAGTTACTATCATAGAAAACTCCGAGGTCTTTCACAGTATTCGATTCAATAACAAGATAGGTTCCACGAAGTGAATATTTAAAATCCAAGTGAGTCCGACTTCTATAAAAAGCTTTTGAGCAACATTTGGAGACATTAAAATCCAAACCAATATTTACAGCCCAGGCGTCCAGTGCTCACGAGTCATTTTGAAGTAATTGACAGTCATGTACTGATCGAATTTCTAGAAATAGCTTTAAGTCATCTGCAAATAGTAAGAATTTACAAATTAATTATGAAAAATTATGAATTTATAAATTACGAATTATGAAAAAATATTGTCCAAGAAAGTTCAAAGAATAACCATTCTATGATAATTTTCTTCACTTTTTGTGTTATTTTTTTACATTTTATAGAATATTTCTAATAATCATTTTAATATTTGTTTATTCATGTTTAGCCCATACTTCATAGTACCTAATAGGTATCTATAAAGACAAATTAGAAAAATATAATACTAGATACAGTTATTTTGTCATTATTATGTCACTAATATCTAATAAATGACCGGACATAAAATAATAGATATGATAAATTAATATTTTATAACTAGAACTTCAATTGAAAATATTTGATTGGAAATACATTTGTTGTACCTACCTATAGTACCAACCTATTCCTATGCTGTTCAATTTTTCTTCTGTACATGAGTTTGTATATTGTGAGAAATATCAGTATACCAATGATTTATAGGATTTTTTTCAATTGAAGCAAATAAGTAGAACCAATTTTAAAGCACCAAAGTAGATAAGTGAATTTACAACTGATAATAAAAATTAATACTTATATGATGATTATAAAATTTGAATTCTACGGGAATTTTGACAATTCCTGACAAAATGACCTACTGACAAAATATTTTTAATGATTTTAATTTTATGTCCGCAATATTGATCATAGAATAAATATATAGGTATAAATAAGAATTCTATAATCAATGGTCTGCAATATAATCTGTAATCGGTAGTATAATATACAGTATTATACATATTAAAATGTAAGAATATATGGAATATTTCGAGGTTTATATGTAATTAGTAATTACTAATTATTAAATTTAAAACCGACAAAACTAAGAACTATTTTATTATGTACGTATTAAAATCTGTACAATGTAATTATTATATAATCGATAAATATAGGGTTATCTAAGTATGGTATGGTAAAAATAAGATGTTCATTTATATCGCCACTACGAGTATAAGTATAGATTCATATTTATTTATACATTGGAAAATGAATAACAACCACGATGTATGTAATAGCCATGTAATTATATAATTCGAAAAACAACAATATGATATGAAGTGAATATAAATGAGTGAAATTAGGACATAAATAACTAAAATATAATTCATAAATGTAATTTAAAAAATCAACAAAAACATGTTAAAAAGTAGTTTGTTATTATTATAATTACATGATTAGACGTTCTAAGAAATACGCGAGACTAAAAGACTTATTTGTTATTAAAACACTTCATTTTTTCGTTTAAAACACAATTAGTATTTACGTCAGTAAATATTTTTCAAGTTTACAAATCATATTATTTAATATTCGTAATTAAGCTAACTATATAACCATAGAGTTTAATAAATTTTTTTTTTTAATTGTGTATGGGTACACGGAATTATAAAATGCTAAAAAAACAGATTCATACATTAAAATAGTAACTATTTAATAATAATAATATAATTTACACAATGTGGTAACAAATCAAAAAATGACTAGAATAATGAAAATGTTATAAATATGCATGAAAACTCACAATATCACTATATATTTTACTCTATATAAACAAACTTTAAGATTTTTACATTTAAAATTTATAACTGTTTTCAATTTTTTCTTCTAAAGTGATTTGCATAACATAGAAAACAAAGAGTTTTTATAGTTAATAAACAAACATTTTACGATATTGTGATACAGAAAAATACTAGGTAAATCATAATTTCGTAGCGCTTCTATTGGTAAATTATTTTAATATAATATAATATTACATAATTATATGTTATAATTAACCAATGAGCACAAAATAATTAACACAAAAGTTGTATAAAATAATCTTAAATCTTAATATTTATGAGGAGAACGTGAACAAGCCATCAATAAGGCTGAAAAAAAAATTTCTGTTCTCGTGAACTCTGTCAGTATTATTCTTGATACTTAAAATGTTATCCCTAAGATGCGAATAAGAAAACAATTTACAAGAAATAAACATTATTTCAGACATATTTTATTTTTTTTTCAATTTTTTACGTGGTGACCTCAAATATTAGAATTTATCATTTAATGGAATTTTAGGGAGCTCTCTAAAATTAATTAAAACATACAATACAAATAATCGTATGTATGTTATAAATTTTTTTTTTGCTCAAACTTAGATACAACAAAGATAGGAAACATGACAAAAAAAAAATAATAATAATAATAGTAATGATAAAAAAGATGTGCCAAAGACAATCTGGCAACCCTAAATAGTTCTTTCGTAGATCCCAAAGGGGGGTAAGTATTAAACACTGAATTAGAATATTAGGCGACTATATGACTCACGCGTACGACTTTTCCATGTGATACATGTCACCGAGCAGCCGCTGTATGGGTATGTCACCGATAGTCTCTTTGAAAAACAGTCTTTCAATGGTCGCTTGCCGAACGGCCCGCAAGTTGGGCAGCATAAGCAACAGCCGTCCGAACCGGGTGGGCTGCCTTGAGTACCGGCCCCGCACGTAATCGCCTAATATGCACTGCGCCTGGTCTTGCAACATTTCCACCGGTTGCGCATCAATGAGACCCGGTGTTTCTATATTTAATTATTAAAATAAAAATATATTTCAATTATTTGTATATTCATGCCGAAGTGTTTTCACTGGTGTGTTTTTGTCTCAAGTCACTTAAGCCATCACTTCAAATATACAAATATCCATTATGTTTATTATACTATTTTTATATATAGGTTAGGTTAGTTAGTACTACTATATGTATAGATTGTATAATTTTATAAATCAAAAATATAAAAATAAAATAAAAATATTTAAATTACAATAACATCCGTTTGGGTATTTTTGTATTATATACTGCTGTAATGTTCAGACCGATTAAGTTATTGACGCTATAATATTTAGTAGCAAAGGGTGCAAAAAAGTAGAAATTCATTGGGGAAGGACTAGCAAATATCTTGCAAATAATCTTACAGGGCATGGTAACATGGATATTATTAATAAATTAATTATACTGTGATTTCAGAGACAAGTCCTCCTATGAAAACATAAAAGGCTCATGGGTGAATATTACTATATCTTGAAAAATACAATCGTTTGAACTTTAAAAACATTAAACATTGAAAAAAGTAGGTATACTATAATAACAGTACAAAATTAGTAAAATTAGAACAATAATAAATCTTTAACGGATTTAATTATGTATTAATATTATATAAACGGATATTTTAATAATAAAATGTTTTACTGCGTGAAATAAAAATAATCTGTTCATAGAGTACACATATATAGCCGATCATCACTCACCTGGTGTGAAAAGAATAACCGCTTTCATGCAACCGCACTCGCTACCGTCCGGTGACAGTTGCCTGAAACGGGCTAATATTTCTTGTATAATTTTCATTTCATTGTTGACCTTAATGTCGTCCGCTGGTAGTCTCTCACGAGCCTTTTCCGAGTTCAGAAGTGGTGACAAGTCCCAGGGTATCGACCACTGAGCCAAATGCAATAGAAACAGTTCTTTCCACGACTCTTGTAACAGTAGTAGCTGTTATTATAGTGATAACATAAAAAAATCTATGTTAGAGCGTTCTTGCTTCCAAAAATGTATACATATAAATGCAAATATATTGATAGTTATGTAAATATGACAATCGCATTTATTGATATTTTAATAAAAAAAATGTAGGTAGTAATATATATATATATATATATTTAATAAAAATTTCACAATCGTACTTGTTATAAATGTGTATACAGAATATAATTTATTTTAATTATAATTACCAACCTGATCGTGTTTGGAGAGGGTCTGAAACGGAGCCAGGCATCGGACCCATCTGACCGCCATGAACAATAATCGAGCTGTTGTTTCCTATAACATCATAAAACAATATACTTTTTATATCATCGACTGTAGTAAAAGAGTCGAAAAATAGACCTTCACATTCCATGTTTTTAATAATTCTGTAGTGTTTCCCCAGTTGACAGTTGATAATTTATGTCTATTTTCTTTTTAGTAAAACATGTATTTTACTGACAAATCATAATTCATACTATAATTTATTTTTAAATGGTTATATTTTAGATTCTGAGTGAAGCGAGTAATGTATTTACCATGATATCCACGAGCTTAATTAATATGTTCTTTGATTAAGCGACTCTAATTATTTGTATAATATGAATATATCATTTTGGACATCAACGACAAAATTAACACGAAATAGTGTCAAGATTGGACTGTGAGTATATAATCAAATAATAATTCGTGGATGAATAGAAAATTAAGATAGTAATTAGTTCCTTAAATTGGATTATCTGATAAACATTATTCCTTAACCCAATAATTCAAATAAGACTTATTTAAAATGTATGTCTAGAACAGTAAATAATATACGCGGAATAAATGTTATCTTATTTTTTCTTTTGATAGATAAAACTTACATAACCAAACAGATACATAGTATTAAGTATTAAACTAATAAAATATGATATATGTAATTAATATTTTACAAATAAATTAAAATAATATGGAAGATATCTGGATATTAGAAAAAAATTTAAAATTACAACAATTTAACTTCAATAAGTATTATTATAATCAGGGACTAAAATTGTGCGCAGTACGACACACTTTGTATATTACGAAATTAAAAAGTGTGTTGTGGTTCTATTCTCTATATTATGATATTTTTTTTTAATTTTACATTTGTTTATTAAATTATCTTACATATTTTTAAAATTCCAAGATGTATCATCAGCAAAATCTAAAATACCAACTATTTTAACTGTAATACACATTACTGTTAAAGTTTGAAAGGGGAGGATGACAAAATCCTTAATTGTGTAATACGAAAAATGATATATTTTAGTCTCTGATTTTAATAATATATAAGAACAAAGAATGTATTATTAAGAAATGTATTTGTAAATGTATTCGAACTTCAGAGTCGCCATTTTTAATCTTTAATCACAGGCGATTGGATAAAAGGGCACACATTTTGCCACCCGCAGAAAAGTAGGCGGGCAGTCAAAAAGTCAACCCTCGCGTATAAAATATAATCCCTTGCTGTAGTGCGTATACAATCAACCGACGAGACTTGACACATGTTTATAACGCCAATAATGTGGCTATAGGCTTAGGAAAATATAACATATTACTACAACTAATATTGAAATGTATATAGATGATTAGAATTTAGTCAATATTGATTGCTTTGTCTATCTAAATAATTATTTAAAATTTTAGCTACATTTTTTTTTTTAATTTAGTTTAAGACATTCTCGATCAATTTGAAATCTGAACCATAAACTTTGAATATTATCATGGCTGCGTTTTTTGGTTAGGAGAGGGTGGTGGTAAAGTGGTCAAATGCCCTGGGCGAAAAATGTATATAAATGCACAGTAAATGTATATAATACATATATTCCCATGCATATAGCAATGATTTTTTCATACTTTTGTAATGGTGTGTAGAGTACTTAGGGTAGTAGAATATATTCGCCCCGGGTTGTATAATTATTCTATATTTCTATAGCAGCTCTGATCGAAATTAATTATTTATTAAATATATTATAAATCATATGTATGTATGGAATAGTTTACACACATTTGACAGATCTTCAAATTATTTTTGAAGAATGTTCTTAGCAAGTAATTTTGTATTAAATAATTATAAATTATAATATAAATTATAGAATTATATAGAAATTATAATATAGTTTAAATATAATTAGTAAATTGATAGAATTATAAATTATAATCACGGTTTAAAACAAATTCTTATTCTGTATTTATGGTTGAAAATATATTACAAATATTTAATACACATTTTATATGAGGTATAAACAGTGTCGGATTTAAGGGAGCAAGAGGATATGCATGCCCCAGGCGTTGTTGGTTTAAGGAAACTTAAGTTTATGAAACATAAGTCATGAAAATACCCTGTACTTCCACCTACGTATAGACACTATATTTTATTAGCCCCTAACGTCAAATTTCCTAGTTCCGTCATTGGGTATAAGTATAGTAAATTTAATCTGTGGGCTTACTAATTAATAATTATAATTCAAATAATTTTATTTATATTTTATTTTCCATACTGACTTAAATAGACGATATTAATACATTATAACTAGACCTTTTAAAATCTACAATGTTACATTGATTATTAAAATTATGAGTTTTTTTTTGTTCAATTACCTGTAAGACTTCCCAAGTTGGTGATAACGACAATGTTAGCGAACCTTGAGGACTGCTTGGTTGCGGTATACCTACAGGTGATGAAGCTTCTGACATTTTTGCACTCCAAATTAATTCCTGTGTATAAAAAAAAAATGTAAAGAAATCTGTATAAAATTAGTTCTAACTTTGTCACTTTCTAATACACTTAACAACTAATCTTTATTTTGATTTACGAATATCTATAAATGAACAACGTTTTTTATACAATAATTATAAATAATACGAATTAATTGGATTTGTAAGTTTTCTGATTAAAAAACACAAATTTGTATAGCTGTAGTAGAAATAAATAAAAATATACTCATTGAATGACCAAATAATTTCATACATGGTAGTATAAATTATAGAAAAAATTAAATTAAAAACCACACAATTATTGGTGTTAACACCGCTGACTTACTTAATTAAGGAAATATTTTAAATATTTTTGAGTATCTTTCCTTCAACATTGTTTTCTGTATTCACCCCTTTACTTAAATATAAATCATAAATATAAACAGTATACAGTTGTGTTGAGTATAATATGATCACCAGGTTAGGAAAATCAATACGTGTACAAAGGAAACAAATTTTCCGAGTCAACGATGTAAAAAAGTAGAGAGAAAAAAAATTGTGTTTGGGTCCTTGCATCACACCGATGTTAATAGCGTGAAAAGTCGAGTTTAAGCCCAAGGGTCGACGACGGACGTGTATGAAATACTCAACACAATGTGTGCACACTGTAAATGTATACATGTATATATATATATATATTATATTTAAGTACGATGTACGATCGTAAGCATGTGTATGTGTGTGCGTGTGCATGCGCGTGAACGTATAATACGGTAAAGCCAGAGGGCGTCTTTGACGTCCGCGAACAAAGGGTTCGATTGCTGCTAAAACCCGCGAGGACCATGTGGTCCAGTTCTCACATCAAATCGTCCGCGCGCGCCACTGACTCATCGGGCGCGTTACACTCCTCCGCCGCCGCAGCTTCCTCTCTGTCCACTCATTCCCTATCTAATTCCCTTGTTTTCCATCCCTTCCGCCATCCATCATCCTCGTCCTTTCTCTGTCCCTTCCGCCCTAGGGTGCACATCATATAATATATAGGTACATATCACTTGTTATATTACATGATCGCACCTCACCCGGGATTCGAAAAAGACTCGAAAAGACCGTAAGTACAACGCGCCAGTCCGAGTTCAACTCTTGAAATGCTAATTTCACACCTCGCGGCCACCGTTCGTACATAAATCGTTTGACCGTTTGATCCCGTACGCAATTGAGATTTAATTAAGAAAACATGCATTTGGCGTGTAACACCGTCTCAAACGAATACGCCCCGAGCTGTGTATTTTGTACACGGCACAACATACATAATTCATTGTATACGTAAGCTCGACTTTCTCGTTTTAAATAATAGCTGAATATTCGAACCCACAAGTATATATATTGCCTAATCGCAGTTCGACCAAACGCTTCTAATACAAAAAGTATAAAAAAAAAAAAAAACTTTCAGAGTGTAGACAAAATATTTCCAAAACTTTGTTTCATAAATTTGTTTTCGTTCCGTTCGAGTCGATTGAAGTCCAATTTCGTTTTACCTGACATTTTTCGGCCGACATGAGTATCTGTAAGAGCCCGGGCGGCGGTGGCGGCTGTTGCTGTCCCAAGAACACGGGCCCTTGTGGTGGCGTAGGTGGCAAAAGAGTTGTCGGTGGAAGCGGTGGCGGCGGCGGAGGTTGCTGTTGCTGCTGTTGCTGCGAAGGCGGTGGCGGCACGGGCGGTAAAGACGTTTCCATCGATGGTTTCGGATACGCCGACGAAGACTTTTGAATCATGTGTTCGGCGTTCAACTGTATCTGACTCGGCTGCCGTTGGTGGTTAACTGACTGTGACGTGTCTTTCAACGAGTGATGGTGATGGTGATGGTGATGATGGTGCAGCTTTGGTTTGCGAGGTCCTCGTTCGTGCTGCACCGCTGCAATAAATTAGATTATTGATTATAAAACGTTGTTACCTGGTCGATTCGGACAATACCCCATTCCCCTATTCCCTTTAAAAATAGTGCACAACTTAAACGATTCCTACGTTACAAAATAGAAACAATAATAAGCTTAATCTTAAATATGTTTATAAAATAAAGTTATCAAAACGTCTGTTCAGATATTTGTAGATCCCAATCATAATTGTTTTGTACTCAAAACTAAGACATGTAGTTATAACTTTTATTTGTCGGCTTGATAATATTATCAGCTAATCATCATAATATAAAATATAGATTATACAGGTTCGTATTGATTATTTCTTAATACATATTATTATGATATTATATTAGTGATGAGATTTGGCTGACTATTTCATAATTATATTAGTTCGATAAGCTTATGGCTAGGTAAATCTTGTATTGTCCACAATGAAATTATTACGTTTTAACTATGTTTCTCGAAGTATACCACTTTACATTTACATTTTGATTTTGACGGGTGAGATTTCATCTTGTGGCCACGTTTGGAAACTACAGCCCGTTTCTGTTATTAATTACACTGTCTTGGCGGAATGGGCGCTGAACATAATTATAATGTAAATAGGTACGCTGAATACATTGCAATACAGCGAGTAATCAATTAAAATACTCTAGCAATAAGATTTTTAATTTTCGTAATCTTTTATTTTTATTTTTAACGTACTGTAAAAAAAAATAGTTGCACAAAAAAATTTTGTTCAGAAGTTTAAAATTATTGACTAATTAATAAAATATTTTATTTTATGAAATTCGACTTTGAATTTTCTCTGTGTGGTGTGCACGCGAGGCATATGATATTGACTAATAATTTTTACATCAATAGTATTATTTAAACCTTGTACGAGTACATCGTTTACGTATATTTGACATTCCACTTGTGCCCGAATATTGAACGGAAATCTCGGAAAAACATGTACATTCATAGCTTTTGTTCTGGTCTAATGGCATGGATTTGTACATGGTTTTTTTTTTTTTTTAATCCGAGCTTTTCAAATAATTTTGTTTTCATGATTTGGTAATTTTTTTTATGAAATCGAAAGCATGCAAAAAAAAGTTATATAAACACGATTTATTATATTCAAATACCTGGAAGCAATAATAATAATAATTTATCATCGGATTACATCGATATCTATACGTATCTATATTCGAGGGTTGTTTCATTGTTCCGTATATTTACTGCTGATTGAAAACTGTCTCTGCGTTATAAATATATATATATTATTTTCACCCTCGGTTCTTTTGTTATCATATTGTGGCGTATTTTATGAACATCAATATCACCTAAATCACCGATCCACCTGGGGGGGCACCTATATCAATTTATCGTGAAATGGTATTCAAATGTATGTGTGTTCATTGTACTTATATTTTATTTTTTTCGTTTATTTATTTTTTATCTAAATTCAATTACTTGCGTTTCATTGTCACGTCGATTGCACCTCTTCAAGAAACTTTGTGATTTTGCAAATTTGTTACGCTAAACGAATTCCAAGAATATGACGTGGCCCAGATGATTTATTTTTATGTTTAACTCGAGAAAACAACCCGTATAAAACAAACCCTCCTGTTTTTGTTTTTATCAAATAATCCCAGTACCATACCTTTTTGATCCAAGAATATTTAAAACGAATGTTTCTGTTGTTTCAGCTAACGATCCACTGACATACGGGTATTTTATTGGTCGGGACAATTTATACTACAGAAAACACCTATATTTAAAGAAATTACGATAAACCTTCAATCCATAATATTTTATCTAATGTTATGCATAATTTAAAAGTGAAATGATAATTTTAAATATTCTTTAAATGTTAGTTATACATGGGAGTATTTTATTATTATAGAATTCAAAAATTGTATTCAAATATGATTCTTGAATTTTAAATCAAACTAAGAAAAAAAAATCACATTTATATTACAATTGAAGTTATATATATATATATATATACATATAATAATTTGCAATTATTAATCAAATAAAATCTTAATTTATCATCGTTTTCGGTTTCTATCAAGTATATACCACTTTATTTCAATAACAAGATATTACCTACTATTATATTACACAGAAATTAAAATTTTTAAAACTATATACCACTCTCAACATTTTTTAAAACACGTTAAATATTAATGCTAAATTGAAATTACTTTTATTTTTATAAAACGAAGCCAATTACAAATCGATGTTACTAACAAAACATATTCTGTACAGAACGTTTACACTTTGATAATTTATAAAGTTTCACTCGTTGCATTGTAATGAGCGCAAATTCTATAATACTTACTTTTCTTCTTACTTACGTTAAGTACGAGGAGTAAACCACTCCCTATATTTATTTAAATGGGTATCGTTTTCGGAACTGCACATTTAAATTGCATCAAGTCATCGACCCCTCCAGTCTATTTTACACTTGTTTTTCCGTTGGTAAGTCAGTTAATCCAGCTATCAGCTGTCAAAAACTCGCACGTATATACATTATACACAGTCAGATACAACACACACGTTCGGTCGGTCGGAGAGGCGTGAAAGGGATATATTATTTACGCAGGGGTGCGCGAATAGTTGGAGAATTTTCAATGAAGACCGTAAATTGGCTATGTGCAGTGCTGTAGCTGTAGCTTTTTGCGCGAAACGTCGTTCATTTATCAATGAATGAGGTGGGTAAGAAGGGAAAAAAATTAAAAAGAAGGGATAGAGTTAAGAGAAGTTTGGTTACTTGGCGTGATTGAAGACTTCGCGTTAACGACATTATAAACTAGGTATTTTTTTCGAGGGTGGGTCATTATTCAACACCCGAGAAATTAAGAGTATAGAAAAAGAGAGATGTAAGAAAATCTTTAGTCAGTCCTTAACGAGCAGTGGATAGCAGCTGTGTGTTCAAAATGGTGAGGAAAATAAACGATAAATACCGTTAATGTTTACACGTCTAAATTCGACGTTAAATTGTTGGTATCTTTTACACGTATTCTGTTCACAGACGTTTTTGGCATAGAATTTGTTACACTGGTTTACCGTTTTAATATTACATAAACCATTACGCGAATGGCTAAATATTTATAAAAAAGTAGTTTTTTTTTCAACAACTCATATTTACAAAAAATATCTTTAATTCTATTTCGCATAGCAATTAAAATTGAAAAAACTAAATATTTCAAAATAAAATTGTGATAAAGTATAATAATGTACAGTTTAAATATCGGAAGCGTTATTAGATATACTATTACTTTTAATCGTACTAAAAATCAAATAATTTTTGATGAACATCAAATATATTCATGTAAGTTTTCTTTCAAACTGAACATTTCGAAAATTTTACTATAGCGTATAATAAATATAATATACCGAATTTTATAAAAATACCACTCACTAATCACTTAATTCCTTTATTTTAATTGAGCAAATAATTATTATCCTATTAAAAATAAAATAATGTTATTAATACTCGTTTTAAGTATGGGACATTAAATAGAATATTTATATATACATATGTATACAAGAATATAGTATATTTTTATGTATTGAATACATTTTATATTTGTTCGTAATTTTATACACTTTCAAAAATGGTTTTTCAAGTATCTATACACGTATACTGTGGTTTTGTGTATTGTATACATACGTGCGAAATGGATTCAAAACCAAAGTGTTTCCTCGAATATAAAATTCTAATGTAAACACGATGTGGTGCCACTGATTTTATGATCTGTCACGATAGCACCGCAAAATCATGGGTACGCATAATATTAACAGTTTTATTGGGACACCGTTGAAGTAGCTTTTGTGGTGTTTCCCAGGTATACATGTATACTCTCGAGAGAAAACCTTGGACTAAATATCTATTATAACCATAAATTTACAAATTTGCTTGCATGGCAAAATAAAATACTTTTGGAAAAACGTGAACACAAACATAATTTCCTACCGTATAAAACTTTTGTGGACACCAATGCGTGACAGTAAATACACTTTGGGTGAATTCAAGCACATCACGATTTTGACATAAACTCACCGTCCTTGTTCATCGCCGACTGAAAACACTTGTTGAGCCGGCAAGCCCGACACTGGTTTCTGTGGGTTTTGTCAATGGGGCACCTGCCTTTGAGTTCGCCTTGTGCCTTGCACGTGTACACCCGGTTTCGGTGGATGCTTCTTTTGAAAAACCCAGAACAACCTGTACATTACACAATGGTGGACGTTTGTCAGTTACCTTGTTCGGATATCAGATTTATCAGATAATTAACATTGTCCGAAGCTTACCGTCGCAACTGTAAATGCCGTAATGTTTTCCAGAACTCCTATCCCCACAGACTTTGCACGGGATATCCAACAATCGGTCCCCTGTGGAACGAGAAGAACGTTTTAGTTTATAAAATTTTATATCATATCCGATCGTCTGCTACCCGGCGTGCACAAAGTTTTATTTTTATAATATACTCGAGAGTATTTATAATATATATTATAATATGTTAACCATTTAACACAGTTTATTAATGCGGTGCTATACGCTTGCAAATGAAAACCAAGCTGAACTAGAGTTCAGTTAATGTAAAAGACTTAACATTTTTGGTTTTTACTCTGAATCTCCGAATGTTAATTATATTAAACTATAGGACTATCTTGGGTTCAACTTTATTTTTATTTTCAGTGAAATCTAAACGGCGACAGTTCATGAATGGAATTTACGACAGATGCTGATCGAGTTACACGTGAATGCTCTTTTTTTAAATGGCCTTTGAATCATACACGAATACTATCCGACGACCATTGTTTTCGCCAGAGCGATGTTCGGTAGGGTCGTAATGACCAACCGGTCCTTTTCGGTCCTAGCCACGAATGCGTGAATAGTGGCGGCTTATGAGATTCACATAAGGTGGTGTATAAATAATTTGTAAGATATCTATGTAGGTGGGTAAAAAAAAATATTAATTTTTTTATAGGTATGGGTACTTATTGACATATAATTTAAAAATAAATTGGAAAAAATAATTCGTTATGTACGAGACATAAACACAAAAGGTTGTTTCCATGATTAATGCGATACGCATTACGATAAAAATTAGTCTGGTGCACATATCGATTGTGCTCCAAACGACCATGTAGCTAATTTTTCTACGGCCGCCCGTAGCATACAAACGTGTTCCGTTTATTATTTAATCGCTAATAGACTCACTTCTCATCACGAAAATCTGTGAACATTTTTTTTTTAACAAATATTTTGTTCATTACAGACTATATACATAATAATGGATAGTGATTTATTATGGAAATTTAAACAATTTTTATTATCATTTTTTGGGGTGGTTTCGTGCTGCTGTGAACCATAGCACGAGCCGCCACTGCGCGTATAATGCGCGCGCACACCGCGGCAGTATCCAGCAACGTGTACTTGCGGTGCCGTTAATGCGATACGGAATAAGTTTCGGACCGAATCACAAAGGATTACGAAAACAAACGATCATGGATGGTCGCATAAACGTAGCGAACGTGCGATCGCGGAAATCCCCCACTTCTACCCTTTCTGGGTGACGAAACGGCGGTTTGGCGAACTTTGAGCGGAGCGGCCGCCGTAGAAAGGGTTGTTGGTAGCGGAAGGTAGCGTGGTGGTGACGCACAACGGCGACTCTACCGCGGCGTTTGACCCGACGATGTCTCGAAGGAACGCTGAAAAGTGCGTCCGAGCGTTGGACCACGTACGTAACGCGTACGTCGCGATCCGGGCGCGTGCGAAAAACAAAAACGAATTACTTTGAGGATGACGTTTAAGGCGGTAATACCAGACGACGATGGAGAATCAGTCTTGGTCGATCATATTTACTTGTCTGATGAGTATTTTTACACGGACCGTACACTAACGGTCGGCACTAAAAGTTTGGGTGTTAAAGTATATCATGTACGTTCATATTTTCTCACGGTTCCAAGGGGTTACCCCGAAAACCCTACCTCACGTATGTGCCGTTATGATTATCAAACGAATACACGGGGTGCGCGTATCCGACCGTGAACGATACGATCTGCTGACGTGTACCCCGTGGGCCGCAAAAGGGTTAGAAAAGTTGGCGTGACGGGCTCGCGCGGTATTTACACCAACATACAATACATATATATTTACTGCGTCTAGTGAGTTAATACGTATATATATATATATATATATATATGCGTATGATATAAGCGGCTAGTGTGCGTATAGTGTAAAAGGCTACCGGAAGAACGAAGAAGGGCTCGTCGTCGTGTGGTTTATTAATGAGCTTGCTTCGAAATCCGCTTATATACGCATTTGTAAAGCTAGTAGCGTGCATTTATATGCAGGCACTATAGGCACATTTTGAGGGAAAGACATTTTTAAAAGGATATTTCTTAAATCGTTGTGGTTTTTGAATTTTCGACTTTTCAGCGCTTATAATATTTCTTTTGAATATCGATTGTGTGTCTGTTCCACAACAGGACATAGGAGTTTTATTATACGAAGCTAGAACAAGATTACTAACACTTGAAGATTAGCGGCTCTATGAATATTCTGTTTGCAGATCTTTTCCCGATAAATTTAAAAAAAATAAAATAGTAACATGGGGGATTATTATCGCAGACTTTTTGAAATCGAATTGAATTATTTTGCTGTCGTTCAGATTTAGAGTGGCAATATTTCAGACAGACCTATAAACACCAAACATATTTATACGCTACTGTGTGTACCACACGTGTGGTACAGGCACCCGTATTACTCTACGAGTACAATATATATTCGTTGCATACTTTGTACGACTTCGTAACACTATATCGTTGCTGCCACAGTCATCTTCGTGGTCATATTAGAGGATTCGCATAAATATTGTATACGTATGTCGCGTTGATATGAAGTAGCGAGCTTTTATTTCGGTTTTGATCCGTTCCCAGAGATGAATTCAAAAGTGAATTCATGTATAAGTGTGTGCGAACATATAATTTTGTGGTCGATTGGAAAATATCAATACGACAAACGGGGTGAAATAGTTACGAGCGAAACCTGCGAAAATGTACGAGATCAAACGAACAATGCCCAGTGTGCACTGGATGTTTCAACACATCCCAAAAACAAACATATTACGTAGTACAATCAACGTAACTTTTTAATATGTATACAATGTATCTATTCTGTCTAAATAAAACAAACATTTAACACTCATCCCGGCGATATAACTAGGCATTATATGATAGTACAGACCTACAATGTTATAAATTATATGTCACAGGGTTGTTACATTATTGTGATTTGTAATACGTACCAGCAAAATAATATCGATGTTTCAGTTTTTCACAAAAAAAAAAAAAATATACTATTTTAAAAATACAAGGGGTATCAAATCAATTATTTATAAGAGTAATGTCCGTATGCATACTATTTGATGTGTCATCACGTCATAAGACAGTTTTAGACTACATGTCTTATGTTGATTAAAAAATAAAAGTAACAAAACTTAGTTAAAAATCAGTTACTTATTTTGTCATACATAATGTGCTCGTATGGTAGTAAAGACAGAAAACCATCGATTTCCATTCACTTTAAATATCGTCCATTATAAACCTAATGTCAATATGATTAGGATAGCCGATAGGTAGTAACGCGTAGGATTTAGAGACCCGTCTAGGTAGATATGTCGGTGTTCGGAGGTCGATACCCGCATACGAGTTGTGGTATTTTATTATAATTGTTTCCAATTATTAGTAGGTTTCATTGTTTGAATATGACGTTCTAACTATGTTTACAATGTAACCCAAATATAAATTTTTGTTATAAACATTATATTGCAGTTGCAGGTATGTTAGAAATTAACAGATTTAAAACGTTGATGATTAGGTTGCAAACACCGGACATTAGCAGTACCAGGGACATCACATTAACGCAAATTCAACATTCAAATTAATGTTGCATATTATATGGAAACATACCTTGTATGTTTATAGTACACATTATTGCACAGGGGGTGTATTCATTTAAAATCCCTTCTGAAAGATGAAGTCAGTGTGAAGATGATGATCGTCCTGGACGTCCTACGACGTCTTCAACAAACGAAAATATTGGAAAAATTTGACAAAATTATTCGGCGAGACCGTCAATTAAGTAGCAGATATGGTAAATACTGTAAGAGAAAGTGTTCGTAAAATTTTAGTCGAAGATTTAAACACGAACAAAGTGTGTGCCAAAATGGTCTCTAAAAATTTGACGAAAATTTGATCGAAAATTCAAATCAATTTCTTCAGACACTTTGAAAATGATCAAGGATGATCCATCTTTTCAACAACTACCTCCCCCCCAAAAAAAAAAAAAATACATAGGTGGCCGCCTCTCGATCAACCACATCGCCATGCCACTGCACGTACGTGTACGTAACGCGTACACTGAACGCGCGCGTATACACACGTATACACGTTTATACGTATATCGTGCACGTGGCCCGAGGCCTGAAAGTGCAGCGGTATCGGCAGAGAGATGTCGAAGCCGCCGCCGACGACGACGACGACGACGACAGCGGCTCTAATGGATGTTGGCGCGCGCAAAACCGTGTTCGTTTGAGGGAAGGGGGGAGTGCGGGTGTGACGCCTCTCCGTCCCGCCGACCGCAGCGTACCGCGCTGTGAAAAAGCTACACGCGACGCGCACATTACGCGCAGCTGTGCCGCACCGCCTACGGCGACGGCTGTACGACCAACTTCCGTCGTACCGCCGGGTTCGGTCGCGCCGGCAAAACGGTCCTGTTGGCGGCGGCGGCGATGTACCGCAACTTTAGCGAAAACTTTGACACCACCACCTCCCTCCGGTCGACGGATTTCTTGGTGCGGTTCCGAAGTCGCACGGAGCCTAGATCCGTGTACGCCTCTACGAGCGAACGTCTCAGGCTGCGGTCACAGTGCCTCGGACGTCGGCCGATAAAATTGGCCGACGGTTGTTCATTTCATTGCAACGAGTACCGGTTATGTTTTGATAAGATTGATGTCTCCTCATTATTGTGTTTCGAGATAAGTCCTGCTGTTAAATATTTGTTATGAAAAAAGCGAAAATATCACACGAATGTCATTTTTTAGGATAAGAAAACATATGGAAAATTCCATACACTGTTTCACCAACCAAGATTTACTAATTGAATTTCGTCCGATGGATATCCGACGTCGGTGTAATCGGCCGATGCGGTCGGAGGCACCGTGATCACTTGTATAATATTTTCTTTATCTAAAATTATCGGGTGAGTTTCACCGACATCGGTGCCACTGTAACCGCAGCTTTAGGGTTGGTACAGGAGGTCCGTCGGAAAACTCCAACACGTAGTCCGTGCGCGCTTTACGTAATCCTTGTTTTTCGGCGTAGAAAACACCCGCGTGGTAAAATAATTATTATTTATCGATTACATTACATTAATTAATCAGTTATTGATTACAGCTTTGTAAAAATGAACTTTTACCGGTTACCTATTGAAATCACAGCCGTTTACAATGTCATAAATGTCCACTATGGTTATGTAAATTCATGTTCTCGTCATCCCTATTGTTTTGTTTTTCATCTTGTTTTCGTTCACGGTCAAAAAATGTACAAAAATCGCCAACCGGTCAACAAACTACGCAAATCCGTAGCATCGTTCATTCACATGAGTACATATGTGTCGTGCAATAAACGTAAACGAAACCTAAGTATTGTAATCGAAATCGAATCGAATCGTACATATTTTTAAACTAAAAGTGATTTTAAAAATCAGTTTTTTCACGCTGCACGTATACAACAATATCCAATATGAATTTAATCAAAACAATGTAGTTTACGTATTAAAAATTACATTTCAATATTATTATGTTTTATTCCCGAAGCTCGATTTATTGTATGGGGCTGCCTTGATCTGGGTTAAATAGATTTCTTCGATTTGACTATAAACGTTTCGCTCATAATTTTAGTGTGGCATTTAAAATTTATGCCCCTTTAAGGTCATTCATTTGAAACTCGAAACAGGGAGAATGTCGTGCTCTTAACGGCGTTAAATAATGATTGATAAAAGGTTTAACTTTTTTTCTCTCGTTTATATATTATTTATCATAAAAAAAGAAATAAAACTGTTCTTTTTAGGGCTTTTCGAACTTAACGCACCCTGAATGAGTAATTTCGTTTAAAGTTTTTTTTGTTTTTTTTTTCACCTTTTGTGCAGAATATCCTAATCTTTTCTGGGCTTTTTGAGTTTACCAAAAGAAAGGATTACAGGTTGCGACGATATAAAAAGGTCAACAAAACTTTTCAATAATAGAGATTATGATATACTTGTGATCCTTTTAAAAAGGGGTTCGAATGATTCTAAGGCGCGAATGTATTTGTCCGGGATCAACTGATTATGTAAGAAATGTGAAATAACGGTTTCAAGAGAACTTAAATTTTCCGAATTGTAAGGATTTATCATGAGAACTTTCAGTATTGCAATATTTATAATTATAAACTCACAATATATTATAAGTATTCAGGCTCAATATGTGCAAAATATTACATAGCATTTTTTAATCTATGCAATAAATAAATCAAAGTTTACTTCACCTCGGTTAGCAAAATGTCATTCATGAATAAATTTCTTAAACTTTTGGGGAAAAAATGGTATTGAAATAATTAAATAAAATTTATAAAACAATTTAAACAAAATTGAAATATTGTACAACATTTTTAACAACATATTTCAACCATAAACATTTTCAATGTTTATGATATATCGTGTACAAAAACAATAAGTTTATCTATACTCGTATAATATAACATTTTATTTTAATACTTTCTAAATTATTTACAATTTAGATTGAAAATCATTAAGAATAAGGCAATAAAAATTATATTTAAATAAAGAAATGTATTATTATTACAACTACTAATTATCATAAGGTTTTGTAGTAAGAAAATGAATCCACGAAAAAATTATTCAGGCAAAAAGTTGTTTCTAAAACGTGATAAAACTTAAATTGCCTTACTCCAACAACAATAACCCAAATACACGAAAGAGTTTTTGTTTGAAGAATTTTGTGATTTTTTTAAATTGATTTTTTATGTACGCAGTATAAAGACTTCATTATGCTATATTATGTATCAGTTAATTACGTATAACAAAAGACGTAAAATCACTTTCAGTTTTTAGATGATATTGTTATAATATATTGTAAAGTTACTAGAAGTTTAATTTTTTATTATAATCATTAATTGAATTGATTATGTTTTTAAAATAAATTTAAAGAGATATGAATGCAATTAATAATTAGTAATTAGAAAAAAGAATAAAATATTTTTATACAATCAGAAAATTAATTGACTGTTAATATTTTTTTCATTGATCGGTGAAATGATTGTAAGCAGCGTCCCATTGTACTTTTTTAGTGCAAATTGCGTCTTAGGTATTATTTTTGTAAATATAAATTGTGTCCCGTGTATTTTTAATATTATAATAATTTATATATTATATGTTACAAATTTAAACCAATATTTTCCTTTTGATTTAACATTCTGTATAGTATAGTGTCACAATAATAAAGTATCGACTGCCAGAGTATAATAAATAATCTTATCTTAACAATTTATAGTGAAAAATAAATGGGTCTATAGTTTTTATAATATTTTAGGTAGGTATAGTATCTTAATTGGCTGATGTTTTTGTTATAACTATAATACCTAACTAATATAAGCATAGATTTTAGAATATATTCTAAAAACAATGCTATAAGTTGTACAAATACAATACACGATGCCGATCTGTAGTCTGTTTTCACGTGTGATAATCGTGAGTGCAATATTGTGTTTTAATTTTTTTTTTAACTGAATTTTATCGTTTATTTTAAAAACTGTTCTCTAGAAAACGAGAAGATAATTAATTTTATTTATCAAATTGAAAATATTTAAATGTAATTAATGAATTGAAAGGTGGCAAGAAATATCGTTGTTAGGTATGATATGTTTATTTATTAAAAGTAGTCTATAATAACTAATTAATAAATGTGTCTTACTCTATAAAAATTTTTTTTTTAATTGATATTTTGATATTTCAAAAATAACAGCTAACATGCATGAGTAATTTAATGTTGAGACAGTGTTGTAAGAGTGTTGGTGAACTGCGCCTATGCCAAGGGCGCGAATTCTATAGGAAAACAAAATTATGGAAAAGTTGTATTTTTATTTTACCATCAAAACAAAATTTTTCCGTTGTACTTTTTGAAATTTATAGATTTTATCAATTTGTATACACTACGTGTGAATTTAATGATGAAATTATGAAAAAAGCACTAGGAAATTCATAAAGGAAATTTCATATGAAGAAATAAATTGTACTTTAAAAGAAATAGTAACATTTAAAGTTCATCACATCAAATTTTTAATTAGCAAAAAGGGATTTATTTTTTAAGTTTTCCAGGTGGCTAACGAGTCTTCCTACGCTACAGTGTCGAATCAACCAAATTTTAGCATTATCCATAACGCACGCACATATATAAATAAATTTCAATAATATGCTGTTAAGATGTAGGACCTAATGAGTTTAAAATAAAATATGAATATATATTTCATAAGTTGTTTTCTGAATATTAAAACTCACTTTTATTGTACTTATAAGTTTTTTTATGATACATGATTTATAGAAATAAAAATATAATAATTTAGTTATGAACTCGTATGGATTAAACATATATATATATACATATATACGTAAATAGTGTAATAAAATGATTATAACCATTTAAAATATCCTAAATTAAGTACTCATAATAATTCACGATTTACATATTTTTATATATTTGTGTATTTATCTCTAGAATATGAAGTTATAAAAACTCTTTGGTATTACGTTTAGTTTTACAAAACTGATAAATATGAGAAATAATGAATCACAGTGAATAGTAAAAAGAAAACATATTAAGAGAAAACCTATATTATTGGTCTTTGATTTTTCGGTCACTTAAACGCAAAACGTTCTTGTAAAACTATAAAGAGATTAAAAAAAAATGTTTAAATTAAAATGTTAATTTTAAAAATTTAAAAAGTTAAAAATGTTGTCATAGTAAAATATATACTTAATGTTTTTCTGTGAAATCCGTATGAGTACAAGGTGAATTTATTAATATCGTCGATATTAATTTTATGTTACGCGAGCGTTAGTTTACACAAATTTTAGCTTTTCTCGCGCGCCGTTTATTAAACATATATGTATATAAATCCAACACCGTTTAAAGGTTTAACAACTAGAAAAAAATTAAATAAATCAAAACCATACGAAGCACAACGCTCACCTGTTCCCATTATCTATACGTTAAATCTCGTAGCGAGAGTACCGACGACAATGTCCATGGTTCGAGGGAATATCTTGTGCGAAAGAACGACGTCTATGGGAAAAAGAAAAAATATAATTAAAATCAAATATCCGAATAAAACGAAACGGAGAGAATGAAAAAAAAAAAAATTCAAACCACGGCACCGACCTTTGCGACGAACGGCGGTAACCGCTGCGACGATGGTTATATATGCGTACGTGGCGTTCCGATGCGCACCGCGGCGGTCGGTCGGTAAGAGTTTAATACCGTACAGCGTTTGTGATCGGCAAGGCGCGCAGCGATGGTTTGACCGTGGCCAGGGCCAAGAAGCGAATAGAGCAACGGCTGCGGATGCTGGTACGTCCGGCGCGGCCGCGTAAATACGGCGGCGGTGCCGTTACTAAGTCGGCGGCACAGGGCGGCGCTCGGTGTGCGACAATCGCGCGCGTGTGTTGGTCCGGGGGCGTGTCGGGACCCGGCCGCCGCGGGACCGGCCACCCCCTTGCCGTGTCGCGGGTCGCGGGAACCCGTGTCCGTTGCCACCGCCGCCGCCGTATAACAACGTGTCAAACACGGCAAACTACCCTGCGGTTCGTGACCGGTGGCCCTAAAGTTATTAATTTCGTCGTAAGCTTGTCCCTCTTTATACCCCGCTTCCGTAAACACAACGTATATACACGTAATGCGCTACACGAGGGTACACGCACACACACGCCCACACCGTTCTGCTGTATACTAGTCGTGTATATAATATACGTGTTACGTGAACACGTAAACTTTGCACGAAGTGTGCCGTGTGTGTGTGTGTGTGTGTACACATCACGTTTAACCCTGTACGCACCCATCCCTTGCCACAGGATCACGGTGCCAGCAGCAGATCTCCAACCCGCCACCGGCTACGGGTTTCCCGGTCGCGGGCATACCTCGCGTAAAACCGAACGCACGCAAAACGTTTCTTCACACGCGGCTGTGGCGATTTCGATTAACCGACGCACGCACCGCCACGACACGGTGTAACGATGCGTTCCGTGGTGCACTTTGTAACTTTATAGCGCGCGCAGGATAATAATATTGTATTACGGGTAATATCACAAGAGCCACGTTCGCGGGATTCTGCACGGCGATATCGAACGGGAAAAAAGGATGGGTCACAGGTAGCTGGAAACCCGCGGATCGCTGTGCCGCGCAAGACTCCTTTGTCGGTGAATCACTCCTATTGTCATTAATTGATCCACTGAAATACATTTTTTCAAATTCTTTCTTTTTCTACTACACCTTTAGAGCATTAGAGGAACCAATTTAGCCTGAGCTTATAGGCTTCTTTATAAAAAACAAACTGTTTCAAAATGTGTATAATTTTTCTATTCAAACTGATAATGTAACATAACAAAACAATTTAACGTTCAACTATAAATATTTTCACACATATTCCAGTGGTAAAATTTGACTTTAAATGGCTTAAAGTTAATATTTACACCAATTTAAATTTAACTGCTACACCTGTATGTAATACTGTGTCCGTCTTAGGCGAATTTAATCTATCCATCGTACACGCGGGCTGGTAACGCGTTGACAATAACATTATTATGATAACGACACGTAAGTACAGTAGTACACTATATAAAATAAATACAGGGATATACGTTTAATGGAGCTTACTGTTGCACTTGGTAGTATCGAGGAGATGAATAATTCTATTAACCCCTGAATATACCAGATGTACTGTTGTCTGTTTAGAAAACTATTAAACAGCACTGGCCCAAAATTAGAAAGATCGTCCAACTACCCTCTCACGCATATATGTATATAAATAAGCGTACATATGACTCTGTACATATATATATAGGCACCCAACAAATATTTTTTCATTAGTATACGCGTGCATTACGCTTGGAAATTAGAAAAATAGTTAACAAGTTTATAGAAAACGCTATATCCGAATTTATTTCGAAATCCATATAAAACATTATTATTTTTTTCTCATCAGTTGTCAATTATAAGAGATACCTCGTATATCACCCGTACATCTACCTACGAGTACATCACGAAGTAAGATTCATATTATAAAAACAGTCAATTTACCATTTTTATTTAAACATCGATTGAAACTCAAAAAAGGAAAAAATACATTTAAATTTTAAATCACTTATAATACTTTATAAGATGTAATTGTTTAGTTTTGTTTCCACCTTTAGGCTTGTTCCTGCATGAATTAACAATTCTAAAATATAATATTCATTTAGAAAACATCTGCAGTACTACTGTTATAGTGGTCTTTGATGATGCTGTTCTGTAAAGGTGACCACGGAAACTAGGGTACGTAGTTTATTAAATGTTAAATTTATATTTAAGTTACTAATATATAAATTGTAATATTGGATTACTTATTTAATTGAATAAAATAGAATTGATAGGAATAACTCAACTTCATATTATAAAGTGTTATTTATTTAAATGCTTTGCCTGGAGTATTATTATATTTATTCCTATATTAATTTACAAGGATTAACAATAATTTACTAGTTTTTATTTTATTATTATTTATATATTAATTAAAATGTTATAATCTCCTGGAGCTATCCCTTTTTATGTAAAGTATATTACGTTTATGTATCCTGTGAAACGTATAGGTATATATTGAATTTACTTCACACGTTTTATATAGTTATGTTAGAACAATGGAACATATTTAACTTAATCATTTTATTTATACCTGTATACAATGTACACCATATTTAGGTTGATTGACATTATTCTACCTAAATGGTTTACTTTATGTGTGTGTATAAAAAAAAATGTTTGGGGAGGGTTGCATAAGTATTTACATTACTTTACTTGTACTCAAATAATCTGTAAAAACTATAGTTTAAACAATCACTGAGTTGGACCCCAAACCCTAAAAACTATAAACATACGCTTTCACTCTGTATACATATGTATTTACATTTACGTATTAAGTACTTACCTACGTTATATACGTCTATAGACAAGTATAGACGAGTATACTCGTGTTGGTTATATATTATATATATGTAGGTATATAAAGATAATGTATTGAATTTATTACATTCAAATAGATACACATTATTATAATAATATATAATATATGTTCCATCTATCGGTTTAGCAATAACTTACAACTAACATATTATATTATTAATATTATACAATTATTAATTATCTGCTCGTACAAGTGTAGTATTATTTTTGGATGATTAAAAAAATGATTTATTGATGTTATATCATTAACATTTCATTTTTTGAACTTGATTATATCTTCAAAAACAGAATCAAACTTTTGAATAAGGTATCATATCACAGGTATAACGTTTTATATAGTCATTTATTACCTACTACCAGTGGCGTATTTTCAATTTTTTCTGGGGGGGTCCTCAGTTTATACATAATTAATATAATCTATATATTATATTGTAATAGTTACATCCTTATGCAGTTTTTGGAGGAAGTTGAACTAAATATATAATGTAATAATCGTTTAGTCTTATATAATATTATATATATGTACCTATATATTGTATTTAGAATTATATATTATAAAGTATTGTTATAAAATAAATTCCAGTTGTCTCGATTTTTTGGCCAACTCCTCTATCACTTCATCAACAGCAATTTCAACTTCCCTGTGAATGTTTAACATACCCAATTCTGCAAATATGTAAGAATTGTTGTTAATTTTTTATTTTTCGGAGAGGTTCTGGGGGGTCCAGTACTCCTGGACCCCCCCCCCCGTAAATACGTCACTGCCTACTACTTTGTTATAATTTGCATACACTATAATTAAACTTTTTCTGGTTCCGTTACCAGTTGGTACTACGTGCAGGTGGGGATAGGGCTTTGCCAATCTACTAAATGTGCCTATATCAGATATTAAGCTTCAATTTATCTAGGTACTACATGAATCAGAATTAAAAATATTTGTAATTGAATTCTTATATAGACTGATGATTTAAACTTGTACATACAAAAAAAAAGGTATCTTATAAATGCGAAATAAAATGTACGTGGTTAAGGATATATATTTTTACTTTTATCGAATAATTAATATTTATATGAATTTATGTACAATATATATTAATTACACCAATTACCGTTAAGCATCATAGCATACTTTCTCGAATTTCGCTATTATGAAAATACTGATATTAAAACTATAGAATAATAATTAGGTTTACAGTTTTAGATTCTAAGTGAAACGAAGATACTTATGGTTATACAATGATGTTTATTTTTTATTCATATTTTTTTTCTGTAAACACTTTATTGAATAGAAATATTGGCCAAAAAGTTTCATCTAGTAACTTTTTTAATTCTAAATCGATCTAACGTGTGGTGGTACTTTTCAGAGGTCATTCAAGAGTTTTTCAAGGCGTGAGGAAAAAGTGCCGAAAAACCTAGTTAAAATGGTAAAAAATGCGCTGTAACGGGACTTTTACTTTTAAAATTTTAATTATTCATTTATAATTTCAAAAGTAATGAGGTTAGAAACTTGAAATTTTTACCCTATATCAAAGATATTGTTTTTCCTATTTGACAATATTTTCAAAACAATTTTAGCTTTTTTGGTTTAAATATAAAACTTTAAAAATATTTAATTTTTTTAATTTAAGACTTGAAAATTTAATATCACCATACTCATATATTTGCCTAAAAATCCAAAAAAAATTTCAAAAATATTTATTTGGGATTTTATTTTATAAGCTTTTAGCAAATTATTATACGATTTTCACGAAATTTACGGTTTTTACATAAATATTCAACTTTAGAAGTTTTTTAAAAAAAAATTTGATCCATCCAATCTCAATATTTATAAAATATGTTTATTCTTTTAAGAAAATATGTAGTGAATTTTGAGTGATTCTAATAAAACATTTGTTTATTATAATATAGTTTTTATACTTTTAAAAAATAATAAATCATTAAAAAAATTGAGTTTCTTATTTCTCTGATGGTGTAAAGACAGTCGAGGAGTCTTATAGTGTTAAAGTAATTTTTTTCATAATAGTGTGCTTCCTCCTTCCTTTCCACCCAAAAATCAAATACATAATCGGTCCCCTCCGAAATGAAAACGTATATACGCCACTGACATAATGTATTCATACATAAATAAGATACTTTCAACGGTTTTAATATTTTGATTAAGGTAATCGCAAAACGACTAGATATGTGCCAGGTTGTATTATGTGATCAAATGGTTAATTTTTAATGAATGCAATATTGCTGTTAAACGATGAAGATTATGAAAAATTACATCCTTAAAAATTAACTGAAAGTATAGATATAGAAAATAAAACTTGTCGCTCATGGAGGTAATACTTGATTGCTTTTCAGTAAAAGTCAATACGTTAAACGTAG